ATGAGAACGAGAATATTTTTTCTCCAAACATCGCGCGTATGCTTCTTCTTTAGTATCTTGTATAGTTTTAGACTTTTTTTTTAAGCCCAAAACTATACAAACGAAAAAAAACATACTTAGGAAATCCCACGGTTGACCCAGAAAATTATGTATATATACATATTTTTTTAAATGACTGCAAGAAAATTAGTATTTTAAAGGACTGAGAAAATTATTTAAGTAGTCATACGTCTCAGAAAAGTTATTTTAATAGGAGTATATATTTAAAAAATAAAAAATGGACCGAAATATTTGTTTCAATTAAAACATGTGTTTAGGTTGAGTTTGAGTGTCAGACACGTACATCACATTTTGAAATAAAATAAAATATTCGGCAAATAAATAGAAAATTAACTATGGGGCGTGATGAGAAAATAGTTGTTGAAAATCCTGTCGGCTGTAGGGAACAAAAATGTTTCGATTGTAACACGTTGTTTCAATTGTAATTTTAGGCCTAATGAGAAAATAAAATTCATCCACTTTCTTATAGTAATTACCAAGTTGTAACAGTTTGCAACCCAAAATAATTGGACAATGAGTCATTGTTGTCAAATGGGCCCGGCACGTTTGATGGGCTAGGGCTGCGCCGCGGCTTCTCAGCCCTCGGCCCAAGTCCGGCCCTAGCCCTTGAAGCCCTGAGGCCCAGTCCAAGCCCAGTTCGGCCCAAGCACGTGTTCAGCTTGCGATACGGCCCTTGTTCGGCCCGGCCTAGGCACGTGTTCTGCCAGCGAAACGGCCTTGCCATTAGGCCTGTCACGGGTTGACCGTTGGGCACGCGAAGGGCCCAATGGTTACAAGTTGAAAATCCACCCTAAAAAATTCTATAAATACCCCTTAATCCTACCATAAATTCCACACAACAATTCACTCTCAACTTCTTATCACACTCTCATTCTATCTCTCATCTTGTCTCTTTGATAGTGATTCTAAGCTTTTCTCTCTCGATTGCTTATTTTCTTGCTCTTTCATTTACAAAGTTCAATCAATTTTCAGAAATTCTGAAAAAAAGGTATTTAACTTATCAATTTTGTTACATAACATTGTATTACTCAAGTTTATTTATATTGTTTATTGTTTATAAATGACCGATTTAACATTAGTTTATGTTTTTTTTTCAGAAAATGGCCGCATCAAATTTTTCTGATTTCACTGCTCTCGCTGAGCTTGGTGATGAGCCATTTTACGAGGATGAAATGTTGGCCCACAACACCACCCCCACTGAACCGGAAACTGCTCTGGTTGATAATGCTTCAATGAACAATGAGGAAGTTGGGGAACGTAGCAGGGGAAAAAGACCGCAAACTTCTCCCGCATGACAACATTTCATAGAGAAGCCCCGACCAAATCTAAAAACAGATGAAATGAAAATTCATGCGGTATGTACATATTGTAAAAATCACTTTTCTCATAAAAAGGGTAGGGGTACTGGTCATCTGAATAGACATTGGAAAGCATGTCTACCGTTGCACCAAGGTGGGAGTGCAGAGTCCCACCAACAAACACTATCACTCACATCACAAGGGTTACAAAATTTTACATACAATGCACAACGTGCTCGTGAGGCACTAGCTAAATTTTTAACTTGTGCCGAATTACCTCTTTCTTTTGCAGATGATGTGACGTTTGAAGAATTCATACAGACGGCCTTCTACCCGCAATTAAACGGGTAAGTAGAAACACAACTCGTTCTGATTGCATGAAAGTGTTTTATGCAATGAGATAATCTCTAGTTGATAATTTTAGGTCTTTTAATGTTACTATATCTTGTACTTCTGATTTTTTAGAAGGGTGCAATAAAACTGGATATTTATGTGTTACGGAGCATTATGTTGACAATGAATGGATTTTACAAAAGAGAATAATAGGTTTTCGTTTATGTCCATTTCCTCATAACGCAAATGTTATTTTTGGAACAATAATGGATATTTTTGGGTTTTATGAGATAGAAAATAAAGTTTTAACTATTACTTTTGATAATGCGTTAGCTAATACGACTGCAATTAACATGTTTAAACGTAGTTTGAAACTAGCTTTTGAGGGCAAAATGTTTCATCAACGATGTGCGTGTTACATAATAAATTTAGTAGTACAAGCAGGAATTGAACATATTTCCTCTAATCTAACAAATATTAGAGAAGCTTTATCCTTCATATCTAGTTCTGGAGCTCAGCTCCAAGAATTATGACAATATTGCAGGAACAACTAGACGCACCTAAGAAAGTTTCCAACAAATGTGAGACATAGGTGGAAATCCACCTACTTAATGTTGAAGGCTGCAATTCTGTATCAACAGCTCATAACAACGTATGTGAACAGTAAGAATGATCAGCTTTTAATTTTTGATACATATTGGAAGATTGGTGAGTACTTTTTAAAATTTTTAGAAGTTTTCTACAATGCTATTGAATTACTTTCTGGAGTTTATTATCCTACTGCACATTTAGCTTTGCATCAACTATTTAATATTTCGGAAACATTTTCTTTTTATAGGGATACTGAACCTTTTGAAACTATAGTTAAGCTAATGGGAGCTAAATTTAAAAGTTATTGGTCTGGTTGTCCTATGTTGTATGTATTAGCCACCATTTTAGATCCTAGATGCGGAGTAGATGAGACCGAATCTTTGATGACTGCTACGGTAGAAAATTTAGGTATTGATATGCAACTAACTATTACTGAGGCTAGGAAAATGTTAGAAAAATTATTTAGTTTGTATGAAGCAAAATACGGAACACGTCAAAAAGAATAGGAAACTTCGACGTCAACTAGCAGTTCGAGGCCTAAAGGCTCATCGTGGACCTTCTTAAAGAAGAAATAGAGGATCGTCATCAACACAAGCGTCTACCGAACTGGTAAAATATTTTGAATCAAATTTTGTAATCGATGATGACAAACTGGACATCTTACAGTGATGGAAGAGCAAGACCAATTGTTTTCCAACACTGTCCATAATAGCCCGTGACATTCTGACAACTCCAGTGTCAACGGTAGCATTGGAGCAAACATTTAGTGTAAGCAACCGAATTCTTGACGAGAAGAGAAGCTGAATGTATCCGGATATCTTAGAGGGGCAAATGTACGTTAAAGACTGGGAAGATGCCAAAAGACGAAAACAACACTATACATATGATTCAATTCAATATTATTTTTCTAACTTAGACATAATAGAATCTTTTGGAAGCACTTAGGTTTTGTAATTTACTTATCCTAGAATATTGTACTCTTTTTTCCTTCGCTAAGGTTTTGTCTCGATCTCCCCACGGGTTTTACTTTGCAAGGTTTTTAACGAGACAATCATTTATGTGTACTTATTCATATTATCTCAATTCAATAAAATCACATCTTTTGGGGCATATGACATATTTTCTTTTAAAAAAAAATTAAATATTACAAAAAAATTTAAAAGGGCCTGGGCCCGGGCCCGGCCCTGGCCCTTATGGACGAGGGTCTGGGCCAGTGTTGGGCCTGAGGATCCTCCCTCAGGCACGACCCTGAACTGTTTAGGGTCGTGCCTGACACGGCCCAGGCCCGTCACGGGCCTGGGATTAGACGTGCCGTGTCAGCCTAGCACGGCACGTTTGACACCTCTAACAATGACTAGCAAAAGCATTTAAAGCAGTAACAGAAATTGAACTAATTTCCCTGATGATTCCTTCCTTTCAGAGTTTGAAATGTTTTATTTGTTTGTTTTAGACTTAATTGTCCACTTTCGTGTTTCTAAGTTTTGACAAGTCAGTTGCTCACTAAGGCAAACACTTGAAGCTCTTTTCTTGGAATTTTTATGCACTCTGTTCTTTCTATGAACTTTGCTAGTGGTAGTACGCACCTTTGATAGTGCAGTAATTAGAGGTCAAAGGGGGACAATTCAAGTAAATCATGTGAGAACATTTTAACATTTTGAAGAACTTAATAGAATGAGAGCTATCAAGAACACATTGAATAAATTAAAAAACTCACTGAACACAGATCAATTAGGAAACCCTAGCAGAGATAGTGTTCGAAAGACGAACTAGTAACTCTGCTGACTAACCATACTAACCCGAATCCTATTAAATTTTTGGTTTGACAAGTTGATACTTATGTTGTTATTTGATACCTGTGTTTTAACAAATTTGTTTCACCTCTTTGCTGGTTGTTCATAGGGCCTAAGGGTTTGGTTTTCTGCTTCTTGTAATTGTGATAAATTCTTATTAGTAGTTGGATTACTACCTTTGATTTATATGAGAAAATTTAAATCTCAATCTCACATAAGAAGGCTCACTCAGATATCCTCTCCAGGCGCCTCTCCAGTGCAAAATATAGGCAAATCATGTATTTAGATTTCTGCTGTGTTTATAATCTCTCTTCAAATATTTTAGGTAATTTTGGCAGCAACTTTTGCCCCACTATACAATCCCCACTGATGGTTGTATACGTCCATCATTTTTGTCGTCCCAGCAACGTGAAAATAAAGCGCCCTCTTCAGCAATAAAATTTCACTTTTACTCGATAAACTTGTGGTCCTTCTCTCGATGATTGTAAGCAAAAATTTTGTTTTGTATGTCTAAACTCAAAATGGCATAATTGATTTCACTTTCCTTGTGATCATTTTAGCTACTAAAAACAAAAAGCCCTTTAAGCTTTGTACATTATATGGGATCCGCAGAGGTCTTCAAAAGATTGAGAAATTAACAAGAATGCGTCATAAACCACGGGAAATCCCCGCTCGGGGGATGCTTCCCCGTACCTGCCCCAATTCCCTTCATAACATTCATCAACAAAAAAAATTAAAATAAGAAAAAAAAAAAAAAAAAAAAAAAAACAACTCTTGATAATTTATACAGATATACATTTATATTTTAAACTAAACATATCAGACGGGGAGTGTTCCTCCATCCACGCCCCAGCCCTAACTTGAGGATCAGAAGTTGTACACGTTGTCGAATAGGGACGACCCCCGCAGAAATATGCATCCCTTGATCCATGGTAGATAAGGAAGACAGTGCCTTTTTTTTTCAAATACTATTACAGAAATTTACTACATTTTTTGCTCCAAAGAAGAACTTGCAACTAACAAGACATTAGTGCACTGTGGAGGTGTGCTAAAACTTTTGTGTTACCAATAACCAATTCCAAAAAGTACCATCCTCGGTAGATCTTTCAATCAACAAGGGGTTGGTTACTACGGTTGCATCGTTAGTATAAGCCATCAGTGCACCAGCAAGGCACGCTAAACAAGAAGTATACTTGCCATATTCAAGGATAAATTTACCAAGAGAAGTTTCCAAATCACAACTCTAGACATGTCAAAAGTCATCAAAATATTGTGCCATTTAAAACGCCAAATATCCAAATCTAAAAAAAAAACAAAAATAGCTAGACAACAAAAGGATGTTCTAGCACCTGAGGATTGAACTCCTCTAACAATGTGATAACCAATTCACCATGTATAGCTTCATCAAGTTTTACTCCATTGTTTGAGAAACTTTAAGATGAGGGGATCAAAAAGCAGTAAGAGACCTAGGTAAACAGGTTGGGCCTTGATGCCTTGTACGTTGTCTTCAGCTTTCTAGTAGGTGGCCTAACCTTCTTAAACACCAATGGAAACTTAATTTTAGAGTTATGGAACTTCTTGGTGCTTTCCCTCTTGCAAAGATTTGCGGGAACGGTAGCCGTCTTGATGATTTGAATGCATGGATGCCTTACTCTGTGACGAGAAGCCATCTCATTATACATTTGTTCCACGGCACCATTAAGAGTTGTGTCACGGAACTCCTTGTACATATTGTGATAACCAGTTCGGCTCTCTGGTATCGCAGCCAAATTCCATAATTATCAATCTTGGTCGGATTCTTCTCAAAAAGGAGAAAAAGAGAAAAAAAAAATGAGGGAAGAGTTAAGAAAATACCAGAACTTTGACTTGGCACGGACCTCGTTGGTGGCCCAGAGCTTCATCCTGTAGATCTTGGGGGACTCGTCCTTGCCCGATGGCAGACCTCTCCCCACCACCTGGTACTGGTGAAACTGTTTCCGCCAAAAGAAAAAAAAAAAAAAAACCAAAAATCACGCCATTGTTGGCACAAATGAAGATCGAAATGTGTCCACAACAAAGCAGAAAAATGCTCTGATGAAAAAACGAAGAAAGATTTGGTTGAGAATAAGGAGTGGTTCTTCTCACCCTGAAAGTGACCATTTTTCAGAGAATGGTGGTGGTGGTGAAAGTGCAGAGCCCAAAAGATCGCCGTCGCACTCCGACTCTGGTAAGAGAATCGCATGTAGCGACTAGCGAGGGTGTCAAAACCCTTGCTAACCCTTTGGTACCCTACTAAAGTTTATGGGCCTAGGCTTGCCCTTTCCTTCCTTCCTTCAGGCCCAAGATGAAATTTTCCTCTTTTTTCCTTTTTTATTTTTTTTTAAAGAGATATGTAATAGAATTATTCTCTTTTTTTTTTTTTTCTCAGAAAACGAGATTATTAGCTATACCTTTCATAACTTTTTTTTTTAAATACTATTATATTGGGACTATGACTTGTTTTAAAATATAACAAGCGTGAGATCCGCGCGTTGCTGCAGAATGCAGTATTATATTATATGGTAGTTATATTTAAAATATATTTATATATATACATGTATTATATAGTATTGTATTACATGATAGATATAAAATTTGTACAAACATATTTATGCAGATATATAGTGTCATTATTTATAATATTTATATATATACAGAATGTACAAACTAAAAAAAGGCAGTTGTAGTCCCTGAGCATTTCATTTTTTTTAGCTGCAAGCATAAAAATGAGGAAAACGGTTGTAAATATAAGTGTTAAAAGAAATAAAGATGGTTAAATTATATAGTATGAAATAAGTATTATAAAAATATTTAAAGTGCCGTGTTCTTGGGCGTTTTGTAGATTGTCTTGTTGTTCTTGATTCAGGACTGAAAGAATGGAATAATCTGTAGATATGTTTTTGAATAAATTGATAATCTTTGTTGTGTTGAATGTGATTTACCTTGTGCCAGGTTTTTTTGGTGTTGGAGTGTGTGGATCAAATGTGGCTGGTGTTGATAGCTGTGATGATGGTATTGCCGGTGGGCTGAAAGATGTGAAAATTTTTAAAACTGTGATTAATATAATATAAATGTTATTTATGTATAGTTGCTAAAAAATTTTAAAGACAATATTTACCTATGTGGTTCTTCTGTTCCTGCAGTTAATTGTTTTGGTGGTGATGATGGAACATGGATGTCTGCAAATATTTTAGAAATTAATGTACTCATTTGGGTGCCTCGTTGTTGAAAGAAGATCTGGAAGATTTTAGATTGTCCTCGGATCTGATCGATAGCTGGCAGTATTATAAATGGATCGGTAAAGCCTTCGTCAATTGTTAGTGCAGAACATGATTTTTTTATTAATGCCTGAGCGGTTATGCCAAAAGCGATGACCTCTATGTCTCCAGTATGATCTTCAATTTGAATTGTTAATCTGTACCTGTAACATATATATATATATATATTTTAATGTTTTTAATTTTTTATTAAAGCAAATAAAGATATATAATAAATAAAAATGGTCTGGCCATAAATTTATTTACCATGGAGACGGCGTTAACTTTATATGGCCATGACTGTCGCACCACCAACCTATTCTTGCTTGTTTTAATTGTCGGTAACATCTGGGGCAAGAATTGTAGAACCATCCTTGAGACGTCGAAAAGTTTACTATTGTTGCTTTCACAATGAATTTTTCACCCTGCATAAAAGATAGAATAATGTGATTTTAAATTATTTACTAAGTATAGTAAGAAAATGATAGGAAAGTTAATAGTACTAACCAGATTATTTTGTGCATCTAATGTTTTGAGTTCGTTTATTGTTCTTCTGTTTGCCGATATTTGTTCTTCAATTGTTTGGATAGGTGTTTTTGGGGGTGGTAGGAATTCAATTTGTTGATTTTGATGGGAAAATCTGTATGTATAAAAATATGAATAAGGTCAGGAAAGTATAAATAAAATGTATGATTATTTAATATGATAAATTTATTAGAATATATTTTTTATACATGTGTGTTTACCTTGTCTTTAATGTTGTTGTTTCTGGGATATCTGGATCAATATAGAAGATTGTTGCTGATGTACTTAAAACATATGAGTTACCTTGAAATATAACAAAGTAAATAATAAATGTATGCTATTTTATTGTATATGTGTATATAAAGAAGTTATAATAAAGTAATGTTAAAAATACCTAGATACTGCTTTATTAGCATTGATAAGAAAACAACCATAATTGGTGCCTTCAATGTTTTAAGGACATGCTCATCAAACTGATCGGCTTTATGTCCCCATAGGCTTACCTGTAGTTGTTCATTTCTGTAGAAAAAAGGTTGTTTATAAAAATGAGTAATAAAATTGAACGATAAAAGTGAGGAAATATTGTATTCATGTTAAATAGTTGTAATGAATAGTAAATGTGAGGGAAAAGAGCATGAAATTATTGTACCTGATGTTTTGTATTGTTATGGATCGCCGTGCTATTGGTCTAGTGCTGACATGTGTATGCTCGAGTGCCTGGACACTTGTTAACACTCCAATAACATCTAGTATTATATATAAATAGGGAAATTTTGTAAATAAATATTCAAGAAATTTTTATAGTAATAATAAAATAAGTTAAGTATGACAGTACCTGTTAATATCTCAGTATTATTTATTCTTTGATATAGTTGGTCGAATTCTATGAAGTAGAATTTGTGAAATGGGATGTGTGGTGCGTCTTCCATAATTGGAGTAAAGGATGTTGCTCGTGCAAATTGAATCATAGCACTGTGTGGAGCGACTTTGTATGTTGGTTTATTTTCAGTAACATAAAAGTTACTAATATTGTATATATTGCCTTGTACAATTTTATGGGAAATATAGTCCGAATCTCGTGCTCGAATTGTTTCTTGTATTGCTTCATGCTGTAAATAAATAATAAGAGTAGAAATTTATTCAATATTAATAAATATTATATAAAATAATATGTAATATAATATTTTAAAATTTTAGTACCTCTTCATCAACCAGGATACAGTCAAGGCTTATCAGGCGTCCTGTGACAAAATCGTTGTTTGTCCATATTCTGCATACTCGTGCTTGTATTGTTTCATAGACTTCATTTAGTTTTAGTGCACGAATAGGTGTTGTCATATTTTCTTAATCCTGGAAAAAACAAATAAGATGTTGTTATAATGATAAATATTTTTATTGAATTTATTGTTAAAAATGTTATATTCAAAAAAATTTAATGTTATGAAGAATATAAGGTGGTATATATTTTGTATATATTTATTTATGTGATGTTTTGTAGGATTTCTTTGTAGACAATATTTTTTATATGATTAGGATAATTGTTGTTTGAATCATTGAGTAATAAATATAATCCTTTTGGATTAGTCACTTTAGATAAAGCAACATATAATTGACCATGGCTAAATATTTGATTTTCTAAAAATAGTCCAACTTTATTCAAAGATTGTCCCTGACTTTTATTTATTGTCATTGCATAACATATTTTTATAGGGAATTAGCGTCTTTTTAAAGTAAATGGCCATTTAGATTCATGTACAGTAATTTCTATTCTTGGAATATAAACTTTTTCAGAAATATTATTTCAAGTAATGATCTGTCCTTCTATTATTTTATTTGTTAACTGTGTTATGATAAGTCTGGTTCCATTGCATAGTCCAGCAGATTGATTTAGATTTCTTAGAAGCATTATTGGAGTTCCGAGTTTAAGATTTAGTTCATGTGGTGGTAAACTGTTGAAATTTAAATTGTGTAAAAATTCTTAAGGATATAAGAGATTTAGTTCTTCTATGTTTTCTGATGAAGGCAGTATTGTATCATAACTATAATAAGTTTTTATCTCATTAGGCACTAAGGATAATATTTATTTATTTATATTGTCGGCAGTTTTATTTTTCGGCGTTACAATTGCGCGTTGTTTTAGGTACTCAATGTTATTAAAATTGTTGTTAAAATTATCGTATATTAATGTTGTCATTTTGTCAATTGGATCTAGGTCAAAATCAACACAGTATTTCTTGGGTATTTTTATCCATGTAATATCTTCATTTTCTAAATCTTTTATTCCTTCAGCAGTACCATTTCCAATGTCCAATGTCCATTTTAAAAAATTTTCAATTTCTTTTTTTTCTTCTGATGTTGTATTAAAATGTTTTAATCGCATATTTTCTGTTAATGTTAAAACCTTAAAGTGTGGCCATAAATATGAATTATTTATGCATGCATCTATTATGTGTTCTTTTGTTCCTGTAGGTAAAACAGGTAGGATTTGTCGAAAATCACCCCTTAGAATAACTGTCATTCCGCCAAATGGTTGGTCAAAATTGTTTCGTAAATCCTGAAGTGTTTTATCTAATGCTTCAAAACAATATTTATTAGTCATAGGTGCTTCATCCCATAAAATTAATGATGTTTTTTCAATTAAATGTGCTAATTGCGTTCTTTTTTTTATATGACATGTTGAAAACTTATCTATTGATTGTGGTATTCGAAATCTAGAATGTGCAGTTCTTCCTTTGGGCAATAATAGTGACGCTATTCCTGAAGATGCGATAGCTAGAATTATTTCACTATTAGATCTAATTTTTATTATAATTGTATTCCACAAATATGTTTTCCCAGTCCCTCCATGGCCATAAATAAAAAATAAGTTGTTTTGTTTATCAATAACAGATTCTAAAATCTTATGGTAAATAATTCGCTGTTCATTGTTTAAATTTTCTACTAATAAAGAATTTTCTATTTTTAATTTATTTATATCATAATTAAGTTCTTTTCTTAAAAGTTTATTGTTTAAATCATTTATCAGTGAACCAGTAGGTAGGGGTAGATTAAAATGAGCTAAAGTCGATGAATTTAGGTTTAATAATTTTTCTAGTTCATGCAATATAAAATTATATAATTCATTTTCTGGTATTTCAAAATATGGGTTGTTAAATTTTTTTTTAATTTTGTATAAGATATCATCAGTCATAAGTTTCTAATTTTTTTCGAGTAATTTGAGTGGGTTATTTACATTATAAAATAATAATATAATAATAAATAGATGTCGTAGTTGTGATGATGTAGACCAAAAAGATGCCTCTAACATGGATTGTTCCCATTCTCTATCATCTCCTAATAAACCTAATGCATAACATGTTGCCTGATATGTTTGATGTGTTATGTTATCGATAGTTCGAAGATTTTCATAGCTTGTTATTCCTTTTTGATGGTTTAGTAATAAT